TACATACATACATACATACATACATACATACATACATACATACATACATACATACATACATATTAGATTTTAAGCTGTGGTTCAGAGGAACACCTGCTTGGAGCATCTTATATCTATAATTGTTTCTCAGCGTTTGCCTTCTCTGCTCCATGTTCTGTGTGGAGCACAAGAACACCAAACTGGCTGTTTGTTCCTTTAAACAACAAACAGATGGAAGGCTTGAAGGCAACAGTGACACTAATTAAGGTCAAACTCATAGTTTGAAACATGAATAGAATAGAATAGAATAGAATAGAATAGAATAGAATAGAATAGAATAGAATAGAATAGAATAGAATAGTCTCTTTAAGGGTATCAAACATCTATCAGTGTTATTTTAGGATATTTTTGTAAAAGCTCCACACTTTTTTTCTACAACTGCTTCGCTTTTCATGAAAAGCAAAACATTATTCCAATGAACTGTAACTGGTTCCAACAAATGTATGGCTGAAAAGCAGCCAAACAAACGATAAGCATCACATTTAACCAGCAGAAAATTTATCTGGAGGCAGAACAAATGGTGCTCCGTGGAAATCAATACCTGCACCAACGAGTCTTCCCAGTAATCCAGACGTATGGATTTGATTTTGCTGACAGCAGGTAAATTACGATGCATCCCTGAACAGTTCAGGCACACAAAGACACCGAGTGTGTACGAGGCCCAGTCAGGTTCTGTGAAGAATCATACTTTTAATTTTTTGGGGGGAAAAAAATACAGCACAGCAATCATATTTAATTTAATTTAAATAAATTCTTTATGTGGTGTTTAACAGTCTAAGCTGCATGACTAAGTGTTGGGAATCATAAGAGGAACAATGAGGTCATATCATGAACATACTGGAGCTGCTGCTTCCTCTTATACAGTTTTATGACAAAACATGTCTGGCTTATAAACTATGGGTTCAAATAACCTGTTGACAAAAACATCACAACTTTATATTTTTCTTTATCACTGCTGATAAAGAAACTGCATTTTTCTTACAATGAATCTGGAATAGTCGTTAAAGTGGAAAAAAAATCAATCCAAGGTTGCTTAAATGGAACAAAATGTCCAGTTTTATACCTTGAATCTGTTTGAATTCACTCACCAGGAGCTGCACAGTCAGCACACACGTTGTTCCCCGGCTGCAGCACCAGTTCCTGCAGGATTCTGTTGTTTCTGTCCAAACCGGCCATAGATGAGGGTAAATCTGCCTCAGCCTCACACACAGTCAAACCCACATGGAACAGCTACTAGGTGTTAACTCCATTTTGGTTCCACACAGGGCTATTTTTTGCGCCGTGGCAGCTAAAGAGCACTCGCTTCTGATAAGTGGGCCAGTATTTCCTCTTACTGGAGCAGCATCATGAAGTTTATTGTTCTGTTCACAAAACACAGCAGTCCAGAAATAACAGCGAAAGGAAGTGAAAGACAAGTGACTCTGTGACAGGAGGATTAACTTACAACAGCAGCTCTTTGGCTGCAGTTCAGAAAAAGAAAAAGAACAAAAAACAGGAATTTGACTGACATGAGTGAGTTTATACATTTAGCTCAGTATATGAGTTCAYAAGAAGTGGTCCAGAGCGACAGTTTTTCAGGTTTTTAAAAGTTTATTAGTTAGTTGCTTCATTTAAACTCTTTTTCAATTCTGTTTGACGTTACCAGTTTTACAAGAAGAAAGTGTGGGAGGAGGATGTTTGAACCCAGATTGTACTCTCTAGAAACAACTTTGAAAAAATTTGGCAGCAAAAATCTATAAAATTTTTTTTAAAAATGTGGACTTAAAGAGGCACAAGGAGATWGAAGGATGAACAAAGGGAACACAAGGAGAACTGTAGTGTGGCATGAAATCCAGTAATGATGCCAGACAAAGGATGGAGTATAGAACTAAAGAGGCAGAGGCATTAACTAATGAGAAGCGGATGCAGCTGTGTACAGTAAAACAGTGAGCAGGTGGGTGTGGCTGTGGGAGCTTAGTAAAGATTGAGGAGAAGTGATGGATAACACAACGAAACACTAGAATCTCAAAAATAAAATTTCTAAATATTAATTTGCTGGACTATTTCATGCATTTACATACAAAAAAAGCCATACAAGCTCAAAATGCACATAACAGGCAGTTAGTTACCTCATGTTAAAAAAAATTCAATTCACTGAAGGAAACAAAGGGAGGAAAATGATTTTTTTTCTTTTGAATTTGAGATAAATTTAGACCGTACAATAACCTTTAAAAAACAAAGAAGAATGGGACAAATATTTCTGTGCAGTAAATTAGAGGCCACTATTTTTATCACACTGGAAAACAACAACTTAAAAGGCAAAATGAGGAATTTAACAATTCAAGGAAAACAAACAAGTGAAAAAAGTCAAAGAACAAAAGATGGGTCTTTTATTTTGCATAGTTTATTTGACAGTCCATCTACTGATGCTGGTCAGAGTTTTAAATTCAAAAATACAAGTCATTAAAATATCTATCTATCTATCTATCTATCTATCTATCTATCTATCTATCTATCTATCTATCTATCTATCTATCTATCTATCTATCTATCTATCTA